TGATTCAAAATATGGTTTGCTATGACAGGGTAACATGATTCATTGTGTTTTCCTATTTTGAATTCACAGGGGGATGTTGAACATCTCCGAATATAAACATGGAAACCTTCCATAACATCTGCGCTAATTTCTGCCAGCTGAAAAGTGATAATGATGATGAATATTTTTGTTGATGATGTGGATACATTGGCCTAACTGAATTAACTTGCATACTCTGGGCATCTAATTGAAAACACATGATTTGTAGTATTACCTGGTTAGCTTTATTTGTAGTTACTTTTAAAATTGCTGTGCTTTTTAAATGGCTACAATGGCTTTAATTTCTTGTGATTTGAACTTGAAAAAGCTAAAAAAGATACAATAGATGTGGAGCTTGGTAGACTTTCAGGCTGGAAGTAATTTTCTTATTCAATAATCATCAAATATTTCTAAAGATGAATTTGACTGAAAGTCATACATTTATCAAACTAAGAAATGAGCAAACCAACAAGAAGTGCTGAAGGGAAAAAATTAAGAAGTGTTCAACTAGCTCAGCACTTCTTGTTGGTTTGCTCATTTCTTTATGGTGGCAGCAACAAATAAATATATCCTCAAGGTATGTCCACTGCCAGTGGTTTGAATGAGAATGGCCTTCAAAGGGTTATATGTTTGAATTCTTTGCTCCCCATTGTAGAAAATATTATGAGGCATGGCTTTGTTAGAGGATGTGTGTCATGGGGACTTAGGCTTGGAGGTTTCAAAAGCCCACCCTATGCCAATTCATGGTCTCTTTCCATGTGTGATACCTGAAGATGAGGAGGTAAAGCTCTGAGGGATTGTTGTGATATGCCTGTTTGTTTCCCGCCATGCTCCAAATAAATCTTTCTAAGAGTTGTCTTGGTCATGGTGCCTCTTCACAGCAATAGAACAGTAACAAAGATAGACACTGGTACCAAGACTGGATTATTGATGTGTCAGGCTTGACCATTTTGTTTGTTGGAGTAATATGGAAGAATAGGAATTTGGACTAGAAAAGTGGTTGAAACACTAAGTGGGGCTTAATGGATAATCCTAGGAACATTGAAGACAGTAGTTCTGAGGGCAGTTTGGACGATACAAGACTGGCGCAAAAGATTTCAGAGGTAATGCATATTATTGGGTGGCCTAGAGAGCATCCTTGTTCTATTTTGGCAAAGAATGTGGCTGATCTATGTGCTCTCCAAAAACAGTCAACCTGAAGCTGCATTGAAGAGTTTTATGTTAATGTCATTGGCAGAGATTACAAGATAGCCTAGTATTGATTTTGTCACATGGCTATTATTGATCACTCTTATGCAGATCTACAATAAAACGGAGCAAGCAGGGCAAAGAGAAATACAAAAAGTACAGCTTGAAGAGAAGAAGAGCACTAGGAATGGCTATGGTAGAGGAAAGTCCTGCTCACATGAGATGAGAATTTTCAAGGCCTGATGCAAAATGAAGCAAAGGGAGTGGTGCACCCAGGGCAAGACCACACCATCTAAGCTTCCAACTTGTGAAAAAGAATTATAGGAAAGTATAAGCAGCAAAGGAAACCATCAACACACCAAAGCTTAAGCAAACAAGTCAAGGAGGAGGATGAGTTCCAGCTCCAGTTAGCAGAAGAACTTGACAGCTTTGGGTGCATGCTTTTGGTTTACAGTCAAGAAGTATACTGTAGTAAAGGGGTTGTAGAATCTTCCTCTGAATTTAAGGAAACCTGCTGGTGCCTGGTATAGGGCAGGAAGAGTCCCAGCATGGAGGCCTGGAGAGGCCATTGATTGAATGTGAAGATGAAACCTGAGTTGCAATGGAGACCCCAAGATATTGTAGATGTCACAGCCATTGGGATACCTTTCAAAGAGAGAAAACGAATAGTCAAGGACACAGCCCAAGAGAGAGAGAGATGTGTGTTGCCATCAGCAAAGCTGGAAGGGTGGAGCCATCTAAGCTCTGACATCAGCTTTGGAGTTATAGTTTGATTGGATGTATGTTTGGTCTTACTTTGGTTCAGTATTTCTTCAATATGCCCCACTTCCTCCCTTTTGGAAGGACAATGAATATTCTATGCTGATGTATGTGATCTGTTTTTTTTCCCTAATTTTATCAGGGTTACAATTAAGAGATTTCCTTGAGTCTCAAAAGAGACTTTGGACTTTTAAACAGAGTTTAGGTAAAAGGACTATAGGGACTTTTGAGGTTGGATCAAATGCATTTGCATTGCAATATGGTTACCAGCCTATTTGGGCCAGGTAGTGGAATATGTTGATTTGAAAGAGAATGATGCACATAGGTTCATGTGTTTGAATGTTTAGACCCAGTTAGTGTAACTATTTGGAAGGAAAGGATTAGGAGGTGGAAATGTGGTATTGTTGGAGGAGGTGTGTTTGTTTAGGTTTGGCCCATCCCAGCTTCAGTTACTCTGTCTCCCTCTCTCTCTCTCTCTCTCCTGCTGCTGCTTGCTGATCAGTACTTAGAGCTCTCAGCTATTGCTCAGTGCTTTGCCTGTCTGCTTCTTGTCATGATAATCACGTAGTAATCCTCTGAAACTGTAAACAAGCTCTCATTAAATGCTTTCTTTTGTAAGAGGTACGTGGTCATAATGTCTCTTCACAGCAATAGAGCAGTAACTAAGGCACTATGCAAATTAGCATTTTAAATGAACTAAAATGAAAAGCTTTTGAAATGAATTAAATATGTTTAAAGAAGGTAATCTTAGAAGACTGCATCATAATCAACCCATTGTACCTTATTTGGTAATGGTAGATGATAGAAGCATTTAATTTATTGAATAAGTTAGTTGTTTGTCAATTTTACACATGTGTGTAGTACGTTCTACTGACTGTCCTCCCTCACCCTCTCTTCCTCCATGTCAGCCTTATCAACCCCTCTTTTTCACACTAGTTCCTTTCCCAGATTCATGACTTTTGGAGTTGTTTATTGACACATTTAGTTTAGTGACCATTAGAGTGGGATTTTTCACTGGAGCCTGCCTTTTGGAGTCACCACTGGATAAACAACTGAATCAAGGAGATAATTCCGTGGGTGTAGGGTGACTGCAACATTTTATAATTATGAACTACAAAAGGAAATGCTAGATTTTTATCTGCCTTCCTAGGTGAGAAAACTAGCAATAGCTTTGTACCTTTTTTTAGTAGGAATAATTTGTATAGTGGCATGTTTGCGTAACAGTTCTTTTTCGAATACTCAGGACTGGAATATTAATCTGCATTAGGGAATCATTATATACTTGCTTGATAAAAGGCTTTGGTTCAAAGTCCTTGTGATTTATTATTTAATCAAACATGCAATTCTTATTAAATATCAATTATCTACATGTTTGGGTTTATTTTATAGTTCCTCTAACAAATTGAAGCAGACAATATCATTCACAATGAATGTTTTATATCCATTTTTTTATAATAACATAAATGAAAAGGTGTTCATAGCAGAGTAGCAGATGTAGAATGGAAACTTTGAAAGGAAGGAATTCTGCCTTTGAGCAAAATGTTTTCAAAGGCTCAATGAAATCTTAAAGTGAATTTCCTTTAATTATTGAAGTAAGAATGGAAGCAATTTTATATTTTCATTGTCGCACTTAGTTGTCATCTATGTGTTTATCAGCAGCTATAGGTGTCTCGTGGTGAGTATGTATGTATGCAGGCTTATCTGTGAGGGGGTCATATGTGTTCGTAGATGTACATGGAAGTCAGCGGTTAACTTCAGGTGTCATCTCCCAGTTACCTATACAAGGTTTCTCACTGAGACTTAGGTCTAGCCAGTTAAACTAGACTGGCTAGCCAGCAAGCCCCAGAATCAGCTTGTCTCTTCCTCCCTACTTCTGGGGATTACAGGCATTTGCCACCACCTTCATTTTTTTTTTCTTTATAAGGGTGCTGGGAGTTGAATTCAAGTCCTCTTGCTTGTGTGCCAAGCACTTTACCAACTGAACTGTTGCTCCAGCCCACAGATTTATGTAGTAGAGTAAGTGTGCATAAGTGTATGCATGAAAATAGTTTGTAGAAGAGAGAGAGACAGAGGCAGAGAAAGAGAGACAGAGACAGAGAGAGAGAGAGAGAGAGAGAGAGAGAGAGAGAGAGAGAGAGAGAGAGAGAGAGAGAGAGAGAGAGAGAAATCATTTTGAGTGTCAAGGTGTTACTATTGACCGAAGCATCATGGGGAGGAAGGGATTTATTTGGCTTATGCTTCCCTATTGTAGTTTTTCATCAAAGGAACTGAAATTTATTTGGTTTATGCTTCCCTATTGTAGTTTATCATCAAAGGAACTGAAACAAGGCAGGAATCTGGAGGCAGGAGCTGATGTGATGCAGAGACCAGGGAGTAGTGACACTTGATGACTTGCTCCACGTATGTTGCTCCATCTGATTTCTTATAGAGCCCAGTGCTACCAGCCTAGGGAGGGTACCTCCCCCAATGGGCTGGGCCCTTCCCTACCAACCATTAATTAAGAAAATGTCCTGCAACTGGATCTTACAGAGGCATTTTCTCAATTGAGGTTCCATACTTTCAGATAACTCTAGCATGTGTCAAGTTGGCATAAAACCAGCCAGCACAATAAATTAAGCCTATAGTAATTATTTTATAGTTATTCATAAATTAGGTTCATCCCTGTCCTTCCTATGATTCCAAATGTCCTACTACAGCTGTCTCTGGAGATCATCTCTTACTTTACCCAGGAGCTCAAGCTGAGTGGTCTTCAATCATGGGTCAGAGTTTGTCCATCTGTCGTGAGACCTTGGTTGGCATAGTTAACTTCTAAGAAGAGGCCAAGGATTTTCTCAAGCATTTTATTACTATTCCTAATAAAATAGTTAGATTCAGGTGTCAACTTGACACACCTGGGAAAAAGAAACTTCAAGTAAAGAGTTCTGTACCTGGTGTGTGGGCGTGTCTGTGAATCAGTTTCTTAATTGCTAATTGATGTGGGAGGGCCCAGCCAGCCCACAGCAGGTGTTACCAGCCCTAGGCTCCTGGGCCTTGGCTGTATATAAAAGGCAGTTTAGAAAGCCAGAGGGAGCAAGCCAGTGAGCTGTGTTCTTCTGGTTCCTATTTCAGTTCCAGACTCCTTGCCTTGGCTTTTTTGGTGATGAGTTGCAATTTGTAAGTTGAACAAGCACCTCTATCCCCAACTTGATTTTAGTAAGTGTTTTACCACAGCAGTGGAGCAATCAAACTGGGCCACCCTGTACGTCTGTTCTGTTTGGTGGTTATGCATTTGTTAATACACTATACTTAAATACTCTGTTAGGTGATGTCATCAGTTTACTGCAGCCTTGAAGTTGATTCTTTCCTTTACAGGACAAAGCAGCAGCAACTGAAGCGAGATCAACTTCTCACTACCGTCCCGTCCACAAGGAGGTAAGTGACAAAAGACTGATTATTTATAAACTCATAAATTTTGACATTGTCACGACACTAAAATGGAAATTATTCTTTTAGTAATTTTCTTGTATGGATCTGTGATTTTTTAAAGTAAACTAAACTCGATTCTCATAGATGTACGGGTGGGAAGGATGAACTCAGGAAGTCAGTTACTGAAGCAATCCACTGATTTTTCCCTTCTCTCTTCATGGTGTCCTTAACACACAAAATCATCGTGAGCCTGTGTATAGCCAGTATATTTAATGTGAGACTCATTCTAGGTATCATCAATAAAGTGCATAAAGATGCAGAAACCAGTGTCAGGACGTTTATGAATCAGTTTTGTAGTAATAATGGAAATAGGCCCAGGAAAATCCAAAATCCAACTACACATTCATTTAAAAGCTATTTTCTAAGTCTATTCTCCATCACTCCCTCAAAAATGTCTATTAATACAAAATAAGAAGTTTATATTTATATGAATGGCCCTGTGTTGAGATATAGTGATAAATAAGATGGATAAAAATTCATTGACGTTGCAACTTTTAAAATTGAACAAAAACTGAGTAAGGAGACAAAAACGTCTGTGTTTTGAAGAGATGGGGAAGTACAAAGAGAGAGGAGAGGAGAATTAGAGAAACATAAGAGGGGAAAGAGAGAGATGGAGAAAGAGAGGACCCTGGTTGCCAATCATGAGAAAAGGAGACATTTATACTAGAATTCTAATAACAGAAAAATATCCCATTCATTAAACAGCTGTTATTTTGTTTTGTCATTGTTTTAGCATAAGAACTTATATAAGGAAGGAAACTGAGTAACAGTCTCCTGGGGCAGGGGTGGTGGCCAGGCTGCCTGTGTCCTGGTGGATTAAGATTCAAAGAGGATCAGAGGCAAGGCTGGGTAGAAACAACAGAGGCTAGTTGCTGGGGAAGGTTAGGAATCACTTTGTTAAGAGAAGCTTTTCCCTTTGAGAATGCCTTCTGCCCGCCTGGTTCTAGATCTGCATCAGTCCCAAATAAACACACAGGAGGCTATATTAATTATGAAGCTGTTGGCCTTGCTTGTTTCTTACTGGCTAGCTCTGATTTAAGTAATTACCCCATAATTGTTAATCTAAGTATGTCTCTTACCAGAGAGGTTTCCGGGCTTCCTACCCCAATGGCGTTACATCTTGACTCTCTTGTGTTTCTCCTTCCCAGAATCCTCCTGGACTCCTAGCCCCACCTATCTAGATTCCTATAGGCTCAACAGTACTTTATTGACAAATAACAGGCAAATAACAGGACTCCCCAACATCACTTGGTATGTTCCTAACCTTCCCCAGCAGTGCCACCAGCTGGGAACCCAGAGGTCACTGACAAGAGTCTTTGGGGGGACATTTACCCGTAACAATATCTAGGTGACACTCCCTCATCAGGTTTTCTATTGGAGATTTGGTTACAGAGAAAAGGCGATGTACTCATAAGCTCCACACCTGTGAACATATCTCTACATTTTTTAACATTTCCACAGAAGTCCTTGGTCACTGCTTTAGTGTTACTGGTCACAGGCAAACTAACAGCAGTGTATGAGGAGAATTCTTGTTATATACTCTTGCCAAAAATCTCAAGTTTTCTCCTCATGTCGCGTCTGCTGCGCGGCCTGTGTCTGAGAACGTGCGGAGGGTGTCGGGGATTGACAACACAGAGACTCGTTCAACGATGTAAAGAAAACTTTAAGCAGGCTCCAAAAAGGTTCAAGAAAACTTCCTAAGAAAGGCTCCCACCAGAGAAGCTTCTGCTCTCTCCTCTACCCTGGCTGGTTCTGCTCTGACCCCAGAAACTGATCTGGGCGTGGCAGAAGGGGCGGTTAGTCTTTGGACAAGGTCGAGGTCAGGGTGGTTTCTGTGGGCAGGCCTTTTCCAGGAACTTAATGCCCCCAGGCATTGTATTGTTTTTAGTAAACATGTCTTTAGTAAACATTGTCTTACAGCTGCCAACTCCCAGGCAGAAGGGGAAGTGGGTCTCTGCTCAAGGTCTGGTGTTCCCACAATTCACCCCTTTTTATTTTTAAATGAGGCACTCCTGGCTTAGGTCAAGTAGGGTCACCCTCCCTTTCCCGTCCTTGGGGGACCTTGAACCCCTGTCTTAGGCGGGAGGGGTCTTCCCCACAGGTGGCCCGTCATCAGAGCACCCCAACTTTAAATCATCTGTAACCAACCTTCATGGCTATCGGGATTGCCATGGGCTAGGCTAAGCAATACTTGGTTACGGATCTCTTGCCTCTGGAACAAGGCACGTTTGAGCCCGGCATAAAGCCAGAATGCCTACCGCCACTGCCACCATTTCCAGGACCCCCATTGACATAGCGCCTCTCCATCACCGTACCCATCACCAGATCTGGGCCATAACATTCTACCAGCCTTCGTCTGTTACAAGGGTAACATGTACGTGATTTACATTCTGTTACAAGGGTAACCCGCATGTGACTTACATTTACAATTTGATGAAATTTACAATTGTTCCAAGATCTGCTCAGGAAAGCATTTAGAAAGTGCACTTGCACAGATACATTAGGTACAATCATTGATGTTACACATGTAGCATTATAAAAAATATGAACAATAGGCTTGTTGCACTATCCACAGAGCACCAATTTGTTCCTGTGGTGATGCAGTTTGTTGATTTAACGTCAGCTGATTATGCGACTTGAGTCAAAGTCTCCTTTTTGTCACATTAGGACAAGTTGCATCTCTCCAGAAAAATACACTGGCCTAGTCGTGATTCCAGAAACAGGAACCATCAAGTCTGATATTTCAAGTGACCATGTCCTGTTCAATTACTTAAAAGAGGCTTTTGCCCCTCATCACAGTCCATACCAATGTCCAAGTGTTTTAAATGGGTCCTTTTTTTTTCTGTTGGCTTCACAATGAAAACTCATGGGTCTGGAAGGTTGATGCAGCAGGTCTGTTGAGAAACTGGAAATCTCGAACCGACTGTTTTCTTTCTTTCTTGGGCTCTAGATTCGATGACAGCAAGGGTCAGGAACACTGATTTAGGAGATCTCACTCAAACTGGCTTAGGTAGGCTCCCATGGTCTCAGGTCCAGTTTTTCTCTGCTCCATGCTGAAGCTTTTATTCTTTTCCTACAAGAAAACACAAACATGCCCTCGACCCCAAATTAGGGTCTTCTCCACTGTTTAGTGCATGGATGTCTCCATTTGACCTGAGCAATGGTTGTTCAAGTTCCATCATGCCAGAATCTGTCTGAAGCTCACTGGCATTCACATTATAAAAATTTTAAATGAGGAGTGTATTATTTGATGAGTCATGTGGGGACTGGGGACATTATTCCCCCTTTTTTATTTTCTAAAAAAAATTTTTTTTGAACTGTTGAAGCTGGACCATAATAGTAGAAGGATTTGTCTACCCTCCTTGGTTAACTATCTAGGTAAATTGGGATTACTACTTAGATTATTTGTAGATGCCCATTAAAAAGGACATATCCATTAAATATTTCCCAAAAACTTCTGAAAATCACTCAAAGATTGTAAACTATACTGTGTCCAAATAACTTTTGAAAATTATTTGAAGTCTGTGAGCAGTCTTTCCCAATCTAACCTGTAGAGCTCTCACTAGCTGACAAGGCCTCATTTGTATCTTAAATTTTTCTGTTAAAACATTAACAGACTGGCTGGATGTTACTTTTAGCTATATATAAAGCAATCTAGGTAGCTTCTGAACTATTTTTGAAGGGATTTAAGTATTCTTTTAATCATATAAGCAGTTCACACTCATGCATTCACAATCACATTTCATACATACCGGTGTGGCCACACCATACATTCAGAACATACATGCATCTTTCAGTCATCCTTTTTCCCTAGGTCATGATTAGTCTGTTGCAATGAAGCTTCCTTAATTGAAATCTATGTAAAAGAACAACTCCAGCCAATCCTTGAACTAAAAGGGTTAAAAAGTCCTGTATGTTCTTTATCATTCCTCCATTTGAGCTACAGTCATGGGGTACAGCTGTACCTACTCCTTGTAACTGTAGATGCAAGGTAGAGAGGCCAAGCTTTTGGCCAAAAGTTTTTAGAGATGACTCACAAAATAGAACTTAAATGTAAACAAAAATTTCCATTCTATATACCTTTCTCTTTTTCTTTTTCTTTACTTAATACCAGTACCTCTTTACTGTTACAAATTTTTTTCCACCCATTTTTTTTTAAGTCAGGGTTTCTCTGTATTGTTTGAGGCTGTCAGTCCAGCCTGGCCTTGAACTCACAGAGATACGCCTGCCTCTGCCTCCCAAGTGCTGGGATTAAAGGCGTGTGCCGCTGGTATTAAAGGCGTATGCCGCTGGCAATCTCTTGGATTCCCCTACTTTCTGACCCTGGTATCAGGCTTAGGAGGGGGAAACTCAGAATGTCTAGTTTCTGACTTTTTAATCTCATTGGCGGCAGCCGCTCCCAATGTATTCTTGGTGTTTTAAAATTTGATGAACAGGGAGCTGGAATGACTAACTGGCATCAACATGGGGGGGGAATACTCACCAACGCCCATATTTCCCTTACCTGAGTGTTCAGCAATGGTTGGATCATCTTTATCATGGTGAGCATTCCTAGTATCCGGAGTAGTATTGGGGTCGACATGCCTGATGCACCGTTCGGGGACCCAAATAGGCTTCTCACTTCCTGGAGGGAAAACACAAATAGCCCCTCGGACCCTAGCTAATAGGGGGGTGGGTGGCTGCCATTTTCCTGTAATTAAGTCCTTCCATCTGACCCATCCCAAGGACTGGGAGGGTTTGTTCCAATGTCTCTCCATAGCAGACAAATTATTACGGTCTATGGTCAAAAAATTTAAAATGTAAAGTATGGTGGATAACTGAATATTGGGGGAGGTAACATACTCCCCCCTTTTTTATTTTCTTAAAATACTGTTTGAGAGTGGCATGAGTGCGCTCCACAATAGCCTGTCCTGTGGGGTTGTGAGGAATACCAAAAGAATGGACAA